CTGTCATCCTCTAGGGTAATGTATTCCTCTGCGTTAAAGTTGAATTGCAAGAGCATCTCAGTCCCGCCGCTTAGAGAGGAGAAAGGAGAGAGAGTTCAAGGCAAGCAATATCTTTTAAAGCACATTGAAATTGAAGTTGCACAAATCATTTAGAAAAAATTTAGTCATTTTTATCACATCTCTCTGCAAGAAAGGCTAGAAAATGTATCTGGCTAGGTGGCATGCACCCAGGGAAAAAAAGGGGAGACTAGATTTGGGCTGAATAACTGGCAGTTTACCACCAAGAGCAGTGAAGAAACTCTCATCCTGAAACGCCAGCAATGCTGTATCATAGAAAGCCTGGGGAAAGCTGGCTTCTGTTCTAGCTCTGCCACTACCTTCTCTAATATGTGCATTTAATGCTCTATATTTATCTCTAAGTAATGCTTTAGCTACAATAGACAAATTTTGATATGTCCTATGTTCATTTAGTGCAAAAGTTTTTTTAAAAATTTTTTGTAGATACATGGTTTCGCCATGTTGCCTAGGTTGGTCTCGAATTCCTGGGTTCAAGCAATCCGCCTTCCAAAGTGCTGGAATTACAGACATGAGCCACCGTGCCAGGCCAACATTTTATATTCTTTTTTTTTGGAGTTTTTAAATGGAGTTTCACTCTTGTGCCCCAGGCTGGAGTGCAGTGGCACGATCTCAGCTCACTGCAACCTCCACCTCCCAGGTTCAAGCGATTCTCCTTCCTCAGCCTCCCAAGTAGCTGGGACTACAGGTGCCCATCACCACACCCAGCTAATGTTTGTATTTTTGGTAGAGATGGGGTTTCACCATGCTGGCCAGGCTGGTCTCAAACTCCTGACCTCAGGTGATCTGCCCGTCTCAGCCTCCCAAAGTGGTGGCATTACAGGCGTGAGCCACCACGCCAGGCCATTTTTTTTTTTTTTCAGATGTAGTCTCGCTCTGTCACCCAGGCTGGAGAGCAATGGCATGATCTTGGCTTACTGCAACCTCTGCCTCCTGGGTTCCAGCGATTCTCCTGCTTCAGTCTCCTGAGTAGCTGGGATTACAGGCATGCACTACCATGACCTGCTAATTTTGTATTTTTAGTAGAGACGGGGTTTCTCCATGTTAGTCAGGCTGGTCTTGAACTTCCGGCCTCAGGCGATTAGCCTGTCTCAGCCTCCCCAAGTGCTGGAATTACAGGCGAATTTTTATATTTTAAGTAGAGACAGGGTTTCACCTTGTTGGCCAGGCTGGTCTCGAACTCTTGACCTCAAGAGATCTGCCTGCCTTGGCTTCCCAAAGGCTGCGATTACAGGTGTGAGCCACCACACCTGGTCCGACATTTTATATTCTGTTTTCTTTTCTTTCTTTCTTTCTTTTTTTTTTTTTTTGAGACCAAGTCTCCCTCTGTTGCCCAGGCTGGAGTGCAGTGGCATGATCTTGGCTCACTGCAACCTCTGCCTCCCCAGTTCAAGCGATTCTCCTGGCTCAGCCTCCTGAGTAGCTGGGATTACAGGCATGCGCCACCATGCCTGGCTAATATTTGTATTTTTAGTAGAGATGGGGTTTCACCATGTTGATCAGGCTGGTCTCAAACATCTGACCTCATGATCTGCCCGCCTTGGCCTCCCAAAGTGCTGAGAGTACAGGCGTGAGCCAGTGCATCCGGCCTACATTCTATTTTCTTTTGTCCTTTTTTTTAACGCACTAAATGGATTTCATGACCTCATTGGCTGGGTATCTGCATTTTGAAAACACTATAGTATTTCAAAGAAAAGTGGCATCTTGTAGCAAACAATGAAATCCTACCTAAAGAAGAGAATCTTAAAACTTCTAGGCAGAAGAATAATTTTTCAGTGCAAAATATTTTCTGATTTCCCTTATGACTTCCTCTCTGATCCATGGGTTATCTAGAAGTATGTTTGATTTCTAAATATTTGGAAAACTTCCAAATCTCCTTTCATTGATTCCTAACTTAAATCCTTTATGGTCAAACAACATACTTTGTATTATTTAAATTATTTTAAATATGTTGCAATTCATTTTATGGTCCAGAATGTGGTCTATATTGGTGAATGTCCTGTGAATACTTGAAAATGTGTAGTCTGCTGTTACAGGATACAGTATTCCAGAAAGGTCAATTAGGTCGAGTTTGTTGATAGTATTGTTCAGGTCTTTTATATGCTTACTGATTTTCTGTCTTCTTTTTCTATTTATGACTGAAAGAGAAATGTTGAAGTCTCCAGATATAATAGTGAATTTATCGATTTCTCCTTTTGATTCTACCGGCTTTTGCTTCATGTATTTTGTTGTACTGTTAGGTACCCTCACATTTAGGATTGTCTTTTTTGTGGGTTGATCCTTCTGTCATTATATAATGTCCCTCTTTATCCTTTTCCTTTGTTTTGGAGTTCACGTTGTTGGACATAGCCACTTGTGGTAAGCAGAATAATGCTCCCACTCTCCACCCCACTCCCCACCTCTCCCACCCCTGCCCTGTGTTGACATCTTAATCCCCAGAACCTGTGGATATATTGGGATAAATTGCGTTATATTTCAATGGGAAATTAAGGTTGCAGATAAAATTAAGTCTGCTAACCAACTGACCTTGAAATGGAAAAATTATCCTGGATTATTTGAATGGGCCCAGTGTATTTATAAGTGTCTTTTTAAGTTGAGGCAAGAAAGAGAGAGTCAGAGGAGGAGATGTGATGATAAAAGCAGAGGTTGGAATGAGATGATTATTGGCTTCGAAGATGGAAGAAAACCAAGGGCCAAGGAATGTGGACAGCTCTAGAAGCTGGAAAGGGCAAGGAAATTGATTCTTCCCTAGAGCCTCCATTGTTCATTTCCACTCAGGTTGGCCTGACTCCTTGCTGCTTCTAGCTTGACCTTTTCTGGAACTCTTGTTTTGGCTTTGAAACTTGCCCTGTTGAATAGCAAGACTGGAACTTACCCAGAGTTTTCTTTCAGTCAGCAGAATGTGGAAAACTAAGATACATCTTTCAGGTGATAGTATACCCACCATGCTTAGAAGCAATTCACAGGCCCTGCACATAATCAAAGAGAAGGGAATACAAGAGGTGAGAATACCAGGAAGTAGGGACTATGTTCAGTAAATATATACTTACATATAGTCTGCCACCATATGTAACTTGTAGAGTTAAGAGAATAAAGTAATGACTTACTCTTATTTGAAGAATTTGAATTTAACTTTGATTTATTTTGAACAAATTTTGTGTTCTTGAGATCATAGGTGTTTAGGGTGCAAGGACTATGAAGTTGTTGTTTTAATATAGTATGCAATGGTTTGCTTCAAATGGAGGACCAAAATATTCAGAATAAAGTGATCTCACCTTGTTAAGAAGGGAATGACTGAGAGGATTTAACTTCAAGCTCCCAAATAAGTGGTTGCAACACACACACACACACACACACACACACACATATATAATGGAAAAACATATATGTTTTTTCATATATATATACACACACACATATATATATAGCTGCCCCTCCATATCCATGGGCTCTGCATCCACGGATTCAACAATGGATGGGAAGAAAGTGGGGAGGAAGGGAAAAAGAAAGAGAACCAGGGTGCAAATCAAATAGAACAATGATAGGACCAGGTGGCTGCCAGTTTGTGACTCTTGCTTTATGTCAACTTCTTAGTTTCTGTCTTTTCCCAGCAATTCGAGATGTGTTTAAGAACTTAATTCAAGGTGTACTTGGAAGTAGATCAAATGCAGGTAGAATTTCCATTGCCTTGTCAATTCTTTAAATCTAACCATACAGTTTTTATTGAGCACCTAACATACACAGTCTATCATTACATCACACACACAAATGAAATACATTAATAATTAGTTACATGAAACAGAGAGATACAAATTCCATAATGGTCAAAATGACTCTGAGATACATACTTACATTTTAGCTATTTTAAAAAATATCATCAAATATAAAGAGAATCACTTTTTACTGGAACGCTCAACATCTGTAATTCACTTCTAAATGCAGAAGGTTAATGGGAAAGTTCCAGAACATTAGTCACCATTTTGTTAAAAAGTAGCACTTCTAGTGGCACACCCCTGTAGTCCGAGCTACTTGGGAGGCTGAGGCAGGAGGATCATTTGAGACTGGAATGTCGAGGCTGCAGTGAGCCATAATTGCACCACTGCACTCCAGCCTGGATGACACAAGACCCTGTCTCAAAAATAAAAGTAAAGTAGCACTTATAAGCCAAGTGCAGCGGTGCATGCTTGTAGTCCCAGCTACTCCTAGCTATCCTGGAGGCTAAGATGTGAGGATCCCTTGAGGCCAGGAGTTGGAGACTGCAGTGCCTATTATTGCATCTGTGAATAGCCACTGCACTCCAGCCTGGGCAAGCCAGACCCTGTCTTAGAAAAAAAAAAAAAAAAAAAAAAAGGTAGATCTTCTAAAAGAATGGAAAGGAAATCATTCTGCAAACCTTTCCTTGGAGCCAGTTTTGACCTGCGAGGCTTCTGTTCCTATAAAGGTTATCTATGACACCCACTACGCTGCATCCAAGTTTATACCAATTCAAAAAGGGGAAAGAAGTCTGCAGTCTTGTTAGCTGATTAGGTGAGAAGACATGATTCAACCTGGCTCAGGTTCGCAATTGCTCATGGCTGCATTTAATAGAAATGTTAAACAATAAGCATTGCATCCCCCTCCCAACATGGGACTCACATCACCTTAGTCACTCTATCTCCCCCTTATTCTCAGCCACTCTCGACATCGATTTCTCTCCCCAGTCTCTAGTTTTTGCACACTTAAGGTACTCCTATTTCTGTTTCCATTATTTTTCCTGCTCTTAATCAGGACTGAGACTCTTTAAAATTTTTAACGTCTCTGCTATCCTAGAGATTCTCCATACCCCTTACACTCTCATCCCAAGCACCCCACCCTTACCCTTGCCCCCGCCCCATTCGGGAACCTGAACTTCTCCCCATTCTCTATCATGGTAGCCCCCGGTCTAAGACGCCCTTAGCTTTCCCTTCCCCACGCCTCCCCCCCATCCCTCCCTAAGCTGGCAGGCAGTCTCAGCCGTTCCAGAAATTGACAAAGAAGTTGCAGAGGGAGTGCCACTTCTCAGCGCAGTAGGTCTCCGTGAGCTCCGCGTTCCCATCTAGCCCGTCGGGGTCGGGCCCGGTCCCCATGGGTCGCTCCTCGTTGGGGACCAAGGCCGCCTTCCTCTTGCCCCCGTTGGTCTTCCTCTCAGAGGGGTTTTCCTTAGGCGGTGCGCTTTGGGGTGGCGTGGTCCCAGCGGCTGGGCCGGGCGCACGCTCCCGGGGCCGTCCCCGGCTGCGGGCCCTGGGCTTGGACTCCCCCGCGAATCCCGCGGCGGAGGGGCGTGCGGGCGGGGACGTGCGGGGCACTAGTCGGAGCTCGGCACCGTGGCCCTTCTTGCCCGCGCACAAGCGGGCCTGGAGCGGCGTGGGGTCGTGACAGGGCCTCCGCTTCTTGCGCAGCCCGCCCAGCACCTGCTTCCAGAAGTGCGCGCTGCGAGCGGCGTAGGCTACGCAGCGCTGCGGCTCCCCGCGGTAGGCGCACTGGTGGCGTGCTCCGTCCGGGCTCTGGCAGCGCAACGCCAGCTCGCTGCCCGCTGCGGCCCCCGGGGCGGGAAGCAGGAGCTGCCAGCTGCACGCGTGCTGTTCGGGGCTGAGGAAGCGACCCGAGGAGCTGCCTGTGGGCCCGGGGACCGGCTCCACCACGTTGCTAGCAGCCCCCTTTTCCCTCCGAGCAGCCGCGAGGAGGCAACCACTCAGCAGCAGCAGCAGCAGCAGCAGCAGCGACGGCGACAGCGACGCTCGCAGCCTCGGAGGACTCATGCTCCGCGGTTTCCGCGCTCCGCTCTTCTCGGACGGCGTCTGTCGGGGCTGGACCAGGCAGAGAGCATTCCCTGGACCTGCGGACAGAGGCAGAGACAACACCAACTGAGCTAGGCGCAGCGCTTTGCCCAGACACATGCACCTGCGAACTACCCTCCGCAGACTTTCTGGAAGCTGCAGCCTGCGAGGAGACCCTCTGAGGAGCTTTCCTGGGGAAACTGCTTACTGTCTAAATAATCGCTTTCAAACCATGTATGCATTGAGATTTTCTTCCCCTTGCAAATACGATAGCAAAACGATGCGTGATAATTGCCCCCTCCACCCCTTCCTTCGTTTACTCCCTTCTCCAACGTCCAGTAAACTATCTACAAAATCATTTCAGATGATTCCTTGGAAACATGAACTTTACTACACTTTGAACTTACCGAGTTCTGGGAGAGGCGCCAAAGCCTTATTAGGGTAGATGGAACGACTGCACAGGGGAGTAGTCTGTTTTAGCCGGCTCCTGTGAATGAACGTGGTATCAATGGAACAGAAGAGGCCTACCCTTCTTCGCCCCTCCCAGATTTCTCTCGCTCTGGGAGACTTATCACCGCCGCGCTTCTCTCTCTCTCTCTTTCTCTCTCACTCTATCTCTCTCTCTCTAGATGGATGATGGAAGCTGTCCTGTAGCATGAAATATAAATCTTGTATTTTGCTTCCAATGTTTAAAGTAATCAGGCAAAATTAACCAAGTTTTTATCCAAAAAATAAAAATTAAACAAAAGATGTAAGTTTTAAAAGTTAAGTAAAATGAAACAAAACAAACTTCAGTATTCTAAACTAGACATTTTTTACACAATTATTTACATTCTATTTCTCATATTCTGAGTTCTATATTTTCACCTATTATTTCCAGTAGCCTTTCTTATCCTGACTCTCAATCTTAATAATTGTTACTACTAATAAAAATATAATATCTTAGTTTATTAACATACAATAGTGCCCAGCAGTTCACCCAGGAGTAGACATTTGGGCTTTTGATTATTTTTAGGTATTATAAATCAATTATAAATGTCCTCCAAAAATTAGAAGTTTAAAAAAATTATTGGTATTATAGTAGGTAAGATTACCAATTGAATGGTATAATAGCTAAGAATGCGAGACTAGCCTGGCCTGGTGAAACCCCGTCTCTACTAAAAATACAAAAATTAGCCGGGCGTGGTGGCAGACTACTGTAATTCCAGCTACTCGGGAGGCTGAGGCAGGAGAATCACTTGAATCCGGGAGGCGGAGGTTGCAGTGAGCCTAGATCGCGCCATTGCACTCCAGCCTGGGCGACAGAGCGAGACTGCGTCTCA